GCCCGCCCCACGCCCACCCGCGAGCAGGTGGAGCCGCGGCCGCGCAGGAGCCAACCGGGGCGAAACGGGCGAGTCCTCCCGCCCCGCGGAAGGAGCCCACGGGGGCTCTTCCCTCATTCCCGGAGCCGGGAGGGAGCGGGTTCACCTTCCCGCGCCGCCGTACCTGCCCCCCGGTTGTGAGAGCACAGAGAGCCCGCCGGCAGCCTTCGCGGCACGAACCCTGCGGCTCAAGCTGTGAGGAAAACCCAGCAAATCCACCCGCGACGCCCCGGAGGGTCTCGGGGCTTCGTTCCTGCCCGCTTCTCAGTCGTCTTCCCTTTAGAGAAGTCAAGCAGCGCAGCCGGCCCTGCGGAAGGCAGGCCGCAGCTGAACGGCAGCTTTGTTTTCTTTAATAATAATTCGGTGCGGGAAGACAAAAGCAAAGGCCCTCCCTGGAGTATTTGTAACGCTTCCAGAAATAAGGCAGCGGAGTTTGAGGTGGCTCGAGTTTCGATAGGAGCCCCACAGAGCGGTAGATAACACACTTGGTTTGTAAATCACTTAGTGCTGGAATAATTTAACCCCAGTATTCCCCATTTTCCCGCTCCACAAATCCAGGGCAGCCCCGACACTGAATCCTCAGGCTCAGCAGATCCCTGTTGCGCCGCTTGGGCTCCGTTTTCTGTATCGATGTTAAAAGGCAGCAGGAGAGTGTTTTAAACTCCGCTAAACACATTTAAACCCAAAAGTGCAGCTCATGCTGTGAAGTGGCACCAATTTCTCTAGGGCTTGACATACGGTACAGCAGCATCGTGGTATTGCTACCAGCGGCTTTTTTGGGGCAATTTTTGTCATACCCAGAGCAACGAATTTTGAGGATGGGGCCTGAAAAGTTTCTCTGCAGGCAGAGGACTCAAGCGCGTTTTAAAGGGTTGCGGAAACTTGAAAAAAAAACCTGAGAAGCTGAGATTTCTCTCTGTGGGTAGTGCTTGTGGGCAGGGAGGGAAGGAATGCGGAGGACAGCAGCTATGATCAGAATTGGTTGACTAATTTTGAGGCCATTAGTACACCAGGCTGTCATTTAGGTAATTAAAGAGAAACCAGAACATTATATGAAAGAGTTAACAATGGTGAAAGTGTGGTGCAAGTGTTGTATTTCACTACAATTAATTCGAGGTGGTGGACAGAGCCAGACTCCCACCCCTTCGCTGCCCCCACGCAGGGAGAACTCTGGGGCAGCGCTCAGCAGCATGGACTGGGCACGGGAGGGGAGTCCCAAACCACCCACAAACTGCTCATGACAGAGCGGCCCACTCCTGTCTCCAGCAGTTGGTGTCCTATGTCCCAGTGAAGCATCATAAATTAAGTACTAAATGTGTCGGGTGGTGTGTTAAATAAACAAGAAAGATATAGTAAAGGTATCACCTTATTAGCTTATTTGATCTTTTAATGAAAAAATAACTTCAAACTGTGATAACAGAACATGTCTTACCCAAAAGCCAAAGATAAAACCAGTTTAAATACTAAAAAGTCGGTCACATTATGCTTGGCTGCTGCCGTGCAGGGCTAACAGAGCCCATACACACCTGCTCTTGTTACATGCTTTTGTTAGAAGTGGCTCCTGACTGGGGGGGGAAGCGTCGTTTTGCCCATCTTGTGGGTGACAGCTCTTCCATTCCGACCGTGTAGGAGGCAGTTCCTGGTTACAACACTAACTGGGAACTTCCTATAAACATTATTCATCTCAGTCTACACAGCAAGAGGAAAAAAAAATAACCTAACAAAAAAAAATGAATGCTTGGCTGTGTCATACTCTATAAATATTTTTGAGCCACCATTAAAAAAAAAAAGAAAGAAAAATAGTTCCTACGTCATAACAATTACACACTTAAGATTCCTAAAAAACTAAACTATCTAACCTGAACTCTCAATTATAAAACCAGTTTTGTTAATCTTGACATGAATCTATGTTTTTTTTCAAGATAAAAATATCTATGCCTGCATAGTCACATCTTTTTGCCACTAGTGAGTCTTTCAAATGCTCAGAACCATGGAATAAATAAATAGGGTAACTTTCCATTGTAGCTGAGGGGTTGATGATCTTCAGTTCTCAAAATTTATTCTGTTATGGGAAACTTCTTCATCCACTGCAGAAAATTAAAGATTTGTATTAAAAACCAGGAAAATTCCCTCTAAAATATATTAAACAATCGCATAGGTGTCAATTTACTATATAAATTTTCACACTGCAAACAGAATAAAAACATAAAGAAAGGTAAACAAAGCACTTCACAGAAAGACAGCAGTCTCAGGGACACCGCTGGAGTGTTATGAAACAAAATCTTTCCAGTTTGTTTTGCTAAAAGGAGTGATCCTTGTGCCCTCAGCCAGCCACTGAGTCATAGTTTATGAGCAGTGGCACACGCTACAGTGTCCAAAACTGAATATATCCTTTTACTCATTGCTTTCCTCCTTTGTTCTTCAACTCTCCCCCACCCAACGTCTCCCTAGAGGAAAAACAACTGCCTGATGAAAATGGCTAAATCATTGGCAGCTCGTTAGGAAATTAACCTAATGTTTATCAGTGCGCCTACCCTCAAATGATTTCAAAGCAATTAAAAAATAAACAAACAACCAAAATCAATTCAATTACTTCACCATACAACATTTCACAAACAGTTATTTCTGGACCCGCTATCAACTCTGCAAAAGCTTCTTTGGATTTAACGGATCACAGTGATTCAGAGCCTTTTAATAAACAAAGAAAATAAGAATTATGCAGCAGCCAATGACTTGCAGAGTCACTAATTCTTGTCGTGGATCTACAGTGAACTGTGGGTATGTTTGTTTCACCCGTTCTTTCTCACTTGAAGCAAACGAGATTATTTCTGTAGGCTAAGCGCTCGCTTACTGCTCTGCTGTATCAGCATGGTGCTCAGCAATTTTGGGGATTTGCTCCTGAAACTTTTTAACATCAGTAGTTTCAGGATGCGAGTCACAGTGCTGGCTTCGATCTATAAAACCTCCAGCTTCTTTCACCTTAGGGCTCTTTTTAGGAAAAGAAGAACTCTCTACACAGGAACAGTACAGCAGAGTAAGGTTCAGCATTCCAGCTACTCAGCATCCGCTGGCAGTGGGCGCCCCATTAGCGTGCACTAAGCAGACCCAACTTATTTTTAAAGACGACTCAGTGTCTCCAGACTTAATGCAGAAACAGCAGAACATGAGGGTGCTGCAAACCAACACCACTCCCCAGGGGCACGGCGGGTTTGGCTCCACGCAGGAGAAACAGTTCAGGGACCAAGAGTTTGAATACACCGAGAGAGAAGAACTGAGCACCAGGTCCCCGGGGATCCCAGCTGGTCAGTATGAGAAATCCAGTACCACACAGCTTCACACTCCAGCTTGCTGTGTGGTAACTTCCCTTTGCAGACAGGCACTTGTGTCGCGTCAGCACTGGAAGATTTTCTTTTTTTGTCAATTTCCCCCCCCATTGTTGCTAGTTCTTACTCAGTTTCACATGGTGTTTGGTATTTTAACCGTATCTGGTTACTCTTTTGTCCTCAGACCCAGACAACATGGTGCCTATTGCAAGCATCCAATTCACATTAGTAGAACAAATAATCAGAGAGTGAGAAATTTCCTGATTCAAAAAGAAAAAAAAAAACAATCTGCTATGGGCAAGACTGCTTTTCACATTCTGAAACAGCTCTATTCAATACATTCTACTTTTGGAGCTCTGAGCCCAGGAACAATATGCTAAAACAGCCCTTGGCCAGTACCCTTGGCCGTGGCACTGAAAACCACTTCCCAGTCTCTTATTCAACAATGTTCATATCCTTGACCCTGTTATCTGTAACGCACAGAAGGATTTAACTACAATAAGTGGTGTGCAGGTACTTGGGAAGGAGCTGCAAGCTCTGACTGCCCAGAGGATGAGGAGCATGCTTGAGAAAAGCTTAATTATTTGACTAAAGGAAATTACTTGCTGCCTTAATATCTATCTGCTGTTACAGTACTCACAGGTTTTCTTGGAAATGCATTCAGAGCAGTGCACTTAGAATCTTGTGCCAGCTCATCTCAGAAGTCCGTAACTTGCATTAATATTGCAGATGCACTTATAAAGAGGGGAACAAAAAAAAAAAACCCAACAACAACAACAAAAAAAATCAAGTCAAAACCACTTTCATACTCACAGAACATCATAGGGAAAAAGAATGGAAGCTTAGTATCTCTTTCTTTTGCAGCAGGTAACTGGGTCCTCTGAAGATCTTTTGCAAGTCCTGTTGTCTACATTGTATGTGCAAAAACACTACATGGAAATCAAAGAACCCAGATAACAAAAATTACAGAGCTGCCAGGTTCCAACTGGCAAGCACGAGGATACACTTTTAAATTCCCTCTTCTCCTTCCTCCCCCAAGCAGAGCACAGAATCCCTCACCCCCAGTTCTTACTGATTAAATGCTAAGGGTTACATTTGATATATATTATGTTTTAAAGCACAGTTTAAAACCGCCTCAGGTAAAACTGGTTTTAAGGACAGATTAGTTGGCCAGCCTAGATTAACTAAAACACGCTTGACAAGTTTTTGCCCAGAACAGTTCTGAAAGTAGACTGGAGTTCTACAGATGTGGTTCAGAAGCTACCCCTGCCAATAAACATGAGCCTGCTTTATTTCCTACCCACTACAGCAACCGTGCTGAATGAGAAGCCAGTTTCCAAGCTCAGTATCCAAGCAGTCTCAGGTTATAAAGCAGAGAGCCATGCTTGCTAATAAAGGACAGCCGGTTTAGCCGAGCTCTGACGTGCCAACCAGTAAGCAGAAGCCAGACAGCTGATGGGGCTGGGCAAGAGCCACAAGCAACTACTGTTTTGTAGAGAGCTTTTCAGGAATCCCTCCTACAAGACAGTCTTTGCAAAAAGACTACACTGCTGCTGTCTTTCACACTGAATGAAATCCTGCAGATGAACTTCTAAACAAAATATCCTTTCAGTTTATGCAAACACTGGCACATAACCTTTCTACTGTCAGTCAGTCCCAGCACAGCTAAGGTTTTATGGTTCTGAATGTTATCAGAAATGCTTTGCCTGTTACCTACAGTAACATCGTTCTGCTCAAGTTCATTTAAGGATAAAAGGACTGCAATATTTTTAGATGCAATACCTTTCAGGAAAAAGCTGACGTTTCAGCATGCAGCCTTCTCATTAGCAGTCTGCTTTAAAACCAAAAGCCTAAATTCTCCCTTTATGATATGGATCAGCACGAGTCTACTCATTTCTAGTGATAAGTGGCACAATCTCCTTGTACAAAGGTAGAAAGGTAGAAGGTAGAAATTCTTAACAAGGCAGAAATTCTTACGGATATTTATGAAAACAACTAAGTGACCCCTCCTCCAATTAATCCTTTTGCCCACATACTCAAGACAGAAACTCCCTACCTGTGTTCATGAACCTAAAATAAATTGTCATGACAGCTATATACGGGTTATTTTCTTTGACCATCGAGTTATGTTCTCTGACCCTTCAATGAAGAAACTGAAACTATTAGCCCACAAAACCTCTGAAGTTATTTAAACTGAGAGTTCGGTTTAAATTCTATACAAGACTATTCTATAGATCACCTATTTCCTATACTGTCCTCCTTTCCACAAATATACCGAGCGTAATAAACCAGTTCTGAATGTAAGTCCTACTTGTGTTCGCTTTTTTCTAGACCTCCTACAGCTTGTTCCAAATTGACTCTTCCTTCCATCTGCTTAGACACATGCAAAAGTCAGACCCTGTCATGACCTTGAGGAGTCATAAAGAATCCTACAAAAAAATTTAAGTACTTCGTGCTAAGGCACGCAGGAATTTTCAGCAAAAGCATGAGGAGGATATCGTTTATAATGTTGTAGCACAATTCAAGCATAAGGGAAAGGATGTTCACAATCACTATTCCTGACCACCAAGATCTAGTCATGGGAGAGCAATATATACCCTATGAGTGTTGTTGCTGGTTGGACTGCAGAGAGGGGTTGTGTGGAGAGGGATATGCTCCAGATCAGGAGCCATCTGTCGCAACTCGGCCAACACATACTGCAGCTTATTTATGGGGGAACTGATGTCCTGGAGGAGACAGAAACCGAGCTGGAGTTATGAAATGGATCTTTTTGGAATACGCCAAAGGATTATAACATACCAAGAATCATCACTTTCATTTTGAAATGTCTCAGTCAAAACACTATAACATAACACTGCTGCAGACTCTCTAAATGCTTGATCGAATAAACAGAGGTCTTCGTGCATTACTGGAATTACCAATTAGCCAGCATCCATCATCCTAAAGCCTTTAATTTCAAAAGCTTATCTATTTTTTTAAACTCACTTATATCTACGCCATCCAAGACATATTGAGACAACAAGGAATTATTTTGAAAAAACATTTTATCACCTTTAAGCTTGTTGTCTCCTCATTTGAGTCCCTAGTTCTCCCATGCCAGCAGACATTTGCTTTCCTACCATCCACCACAATTCCCCTTAAAATTAATGAAGTACCTTCTGCAATAAAATATTGGCTTGGTCCACTGAAAGGTTACTGATCTCCGGAGTGGAGTCCTCATCAGAAAATCGCTCACATCTTTGAGGCCTGTCTCCTTTCTGTGTCAAGGATGTCAAACTGGGAGAATTCCCAGTGAAAAGAATTCAGATCCACATTTTCTTCACTGTTAAAAAAATTAAGACATTGACAGAAATAGTATCACCACCCTTTTTAAACTTTCAAAGGAAAATCATGAGACAACATAAAGAATTATGGGCCCGGAGCCAAGAAAACCATCAAGGGTGTGAAATTACTTTGCTCCTCAAAGTGGTTCCCATGTTTAACAGCTTCTTTAGATCACTTTTATCCTCCGAGGATAACAGTTTGATGCTCCTCGCGTATCTCATGGGTGCCCTCAGTCCTAACTCTGTCTGTCTTGCAGTTAATTTTCAGGGGCAGAGAATGCCATACCTATGCTACAATGGCATGATAAAGAAAACAGTCAGAATACTGCATTTAAAGAGTGTACATAACTGTACCAAAGTTAAAGCTATACATGAACCAGAGGCCATGGTTCTGTGGTAGTTCAGATACCAATGGGCAGCTGTATCCTGCCAAAACCCAAAAAATTCTACCCAGATTTGGCTGTTACTTTCCAAAATCACTCTGCGAGCTCCCTCATGTTTTATACAGTGTGGTGATTCTGTCTGAACCTCCAGGGTGTGTACCAATTTCCTAATCTGAAAGCAAAATAAATTTGATTTTTAAACAAAAGTAGCAGTAGGCCAGATTAACACCCCTAACACCAAACTATTCCATTTAAAAAAAAAATAAAAATCATTAACTGTCTGGCCTGCATACAATGCTTTATTCAGTGACTGATACTCATGGTGTCTCCTGTCAGAGTAAAAAAAGGTATCTGACAGCTTCACTGGATGTTTGTGGTTGAGTCCAGGAAAGCCATCTTGACATGGCACGCATCTCTTCAGATATTAGTTGTGGCTGAACAGTGAAGTCTCAATCTGGGAATAAACTACCAAAAAAAAAACCCCAAAAAAAAAAGAAGAAAAAAAGTTACCTCCTTTCATGTGCTGCCTTTTCATGCTTTTGCCTTAAATCCTGAGAGCTCTCCAAATTGCCACGAAGAAGCTGCAAGTCACGCCGCTGCCTTGTACGGATCTGTTTAAAGATAGTAATGCACATTAGTGAAAGTCTGGAGTGCAGGAACATTGTCAGCAGGTACTCACACATTGCTTGTCTTCCAAAAATAACCTTAAAGCATTTTTATAAAGCAATACTTGGAGTCAAACTATTGTCAGAGTCTTCCAAATCTAAGGGCCATCTCTGCATGTATTTAGGAAAAACTATGTTTTGTGGCAATAAACAGTATTTCTATTAGATGGTAGGGGTCTAAAACAAAACCACATTGAATCATAAATACAATACTATTGTTATTTGATATTTAATACGTGTTTTTATTATGTGGTTCAAAGTTATGTAGAATTACAGGACACAGAATGATGATCATGGTATTTAGCTTTCACTGCAGGGGATTTTTTTTTTTTTAAAGCTAATGTAGAAGAGAAGACCCCGATGAAGTATTTGCAATAAAAAAACCTGAACATAACCTGAGAACCTCACGAGTGCAGGTGAAAACACTGGTTTTAAGTTTCTCCTGAAAAAGAGATCTTTCAGTACACTGTGCCCCTCTACCACCACTTCTCCAGCCCAGCACTCTGGTTATACACACCCACTGATGAGGGTGCCCCCACTTTACTGCTACGTACTCACTGTAGGACTGAGTAAATACAGCCATACAAAAAAGGTTAAAAGCACATATAAATACAAGGATTTGTACTATGGGGTTTTAATTTAAAAAAAAAAATTAAAAACATTCTATAGGGATCCCAGCAAGGCAGAAACAGCAAGGATTTTTTTTCTTAATTAAGAATATCTATATACAATTTTTTTTATATTGTCACATGCAGCTCTAGTGTTACTGAAAAATGCCTTCATAATCTCAGAAGAAACAAAATTAGGGTTGTACCTCTTGCAAACTTGATAGTTCTATGTCATTCTGTGCTTGTTCAGACTTGGCAAACTGAAGAAGCTGGTCCTTTCTTTTTGCTTCCTCGACTGTTTCAAAACATATACAATTTTTTAATTAAAGTGAATAGACACAATGTAAGTACATTTGTTAACGCATATGTCTGTAGCAGTAGAAACAAGTACCTAACCAAAACCATTTTCTTAAGAACCAAACCAAAACCATTTTCTTAAGGTCAACAGGATCTGTTGTTTCCCCTTCAAATAAAAAGAGCACGAAAACCATAAGACAACAGATCAAATATTTTCCTCAGTCTTTGCACCAGCACCTAGCTTTATTTTACTAGCAGCCATATTCTGCTGATTTATTTTACTTTTTCATGTTAACATTCTTCCACAGAAAGGAAATTCAGTAATTAATTCTAATTCATGCCTTGTATGGGGAAGTGCTGGGAAATACGTCCCATTACTACTGTTCTTAAAATAATGAGACATGGAATCAATATTTGGCAAAGACAATGGCAGAGGAAAAGTGACAGAAAAGTGACAGCAAGTAAATAATGTGACAGCAGAGGGCATCTTTGGTCACCTCATCTTTCAAGGTATATTGGTGGTCTGTAAGAACACTGCAGGCACACTCAGCCTGCCTTTCCTATTGCAATAGTTTCTCTCTACCCAAAACCGAAGTGAAGCTGTCAGCAGAGAGCAGGCTGCAGTTTACCATGTCCTGCATATTAAACCATCTAAACCAAACCCATCAGTTAAACAAGAGAAAAAGTGAATTTGTAAACATACAAACCATACAAACACTGGAGAGAGAGAATGAGCTGGTCATTGCATAGGACCAAAGGCTTTAGGTTTTGCACGTGGCTTCTTTTCAGTAGGTCTTTTCTAGGCAACCTATGTCAGAAGGGAGACTGCCACCCTCATTTATTGTATTAATACCACAAGAGACACAAAAATCTCAAAATTTTCAGTAATTCCCTGAGCCATTCACTCTTCCATGTATAACCATACTAGTGAACTTTGTGCTTTTACAGGATTTTATAACTTGTCCCTGCAGAAGCCCTAGATAATGCTTTCATAGAAGAATGGCATTATACCTTTATTACACTGCAAGAAAGGTAGATAAGAAGCTGCTTCCTTCACAGATATTAGTGAACTGTTGTTGTCGAGAAGCCTGAGCTGTTGACAGCTAAGGCATGAAAATCCAACTGCTCACACTTACCAGTGAGCGCAAGCTCATTCCTCAGGCAGACATTTTCTTGTTTGAGGTGAGTGATTTCTTCCTGCTGCTTATTATTTTCTTTTATCTTTTCACAGAGGTCACCTTTAAAACAAAAAGGTAGTATTTCCCAGAATGAAAAGGAATCATGCTGGTCTGCGCTGAATTAGCACACAGTATAAATATTTACCTTTCAGCTTATTTGTTTCAAGTATTAGTTCTTCCAGGCTCAGTTTAAGGTCATTATTTTCTTTTCTGAGACTCGATTCCTTTGTCTTTGCTGCATGCAATGCACTTCCCAGCTTTTTTAATTGAGATATAAACTTCACAAGGCGATCAGTTGTTTCAAGGATAAACTTGTCCTGAAATATGAAATAGAATGTATTCTTATTGTTTTATCTTCATGTATGGATTTTGACAAAATAGTAGATCTTACTGCAGTAGTTACAGCTGCTTCAAAGATGTTCTTCTACGCTCTTGATGAAAAAAAACCAACAAAAAAATCAAGAAACAAGCTTGTTTATTAAAATAAACCAGTTTCTTGTTTGTTGCCCACTTTTCTCAAACAAGCCTAAGAATAAACAAGCAGTGAGATCAACAGTGACTGAACCACTGTGTTCCAGTCACCAATAACTGCACTGCAGTTTGACCACATCTAGTGCCTGATGAGAAGACAGAAACTTACCTTCTGCTTAAGCATAGTAAGAAGCTCCTGCTCCCTCCCTTGCAGCTGGCCTGTTTTAGCAGACTGTTCCAAAACTAAGCAGTGACTTTGATCTTCCCCCTAGCGAACAGAAATAAGAGTGCCAGCTACTACTTCGGTGACTCAAAGTTACTGTTTTTCCAGTTAACGTGTGCACAACTTTATTTAAACATCATGAATGTCAGTGTGGGATTCTCAGCAAGCTGTGAGGATCTGGAGAAAAGGGGACTGGAGTAAAAATTGTTTTCCAACTTGTTCCAACTAAACTTGCTTGCGATCAATGGTCTTAATAGTCTGCATGTCTTAAGCCAATTAGACAGATGAAAATGCAGAATACTACTTTATTGCATACAGGGGGAAAAGACGAATAAACATCATTGCTACATCACTTTAAATAAAATAATCTAGAACCCTTGAATACCAATTATTTTCATATCCTTAAACCAGTTTCAGAATGTTACAGTTCATCACAGTAATCAAAGCAGGAAATAAAACCTTCTGGAACTTCCTAACCAAGTACCAGTGCTGTTCTGGGGGCCAGCACTGCCTCTGCAATCAGTGCCTGACATTTCTGGAGGAAAGCTGGTTCTGAGCAGAGTTCCCCCAAACTGAGCAAACTCCAAATCCTTAGGAAAGCATTTTTGCCCCCTTTCCCCATTCCCAATGAATCAGAGCTATATCTTTATCTAACACTGCTGTACTAAAAGTCAAATGCCAGTCAGGAACCTTAATATGAAATATTTATTCACTAGTGAAACGCACCAATGCCACTGGCATTCTGTACACGCATCGACTGCAAAATCAGACTATTGCTCAACTCCTACCTCCAGAGCCTGACCGCAAACAGTTCCATCTGGTACTTTTTGGGACGGCTCTTTAACCTTCTGTGGTGCATTTTCAAGTGCTGTCTTACTGCCGTTCTGCTGAGACGTTACTAACTTTAACCTTTTGATCAGCAATTTTATGACTTCATTTTTCTTGTTCAGCTCACCTGAAAAGAGACAAGGTACCTGTAAGAAAACAGCTCAAATACTGTCATGTAATCTTTAAAATCTCAGAAATAATTTAACGCGGTGTTTTAAAACTGTGCAGAAATGGATGCTCACGTTGCATACTCTGAAGCGGGATCCTCTCGCTACCCAGGCCAGATGGAATACGAACTCTGGTGACCTCCACGCTGTGGCTGTCAAACGGCATTAAGCAGCAGTGAGAAATTCTCTGATGGTAAACTCAAGCTTTTAATTTGAAATATTTTTATATTATAACCAGAGACCATTCCAAAAAGTCCCTCACGCTTGTCGTACCACCTGCGGTCCTTGACTGAAACCGTTAGTGGTACAATAAGGAATTTAACAGCGCTGAGAGTTAACTGTATGTGATGAACTGGGGATGTGATGAACCCAGTGGGGCCTGGGCACCAGCACGCCGCAGGCACTGGTGGG